CCACCATCTAGTCCCCAAGATAGACGTATTTTCACCCTAACTGGCCCTTGTTAGAGGGTCTTAAGTAAAATCAGTCTGACTTCTTGTTAGTTCTGAGTTTAATGAAAGCGATTGCTTTCAGGCGTGGTGAAGTGAATTTAGATTTTCCCATAAATTGCTGGAGTCTACTCCCATCACAGTTTCTATCAGATTAGGATAACATTCTTGCATTTCTACTTGCACCAAACATGATATAATTACATAAACACACGTGTACTCAAATAACTTCGCTAATCTCACTATTTCAGTTTATAGCAAAGCATCATGTTTTCTGTTAAAAGAGAGTAACTGTCCATTAGCATGGTCGTTGGGAAAGTCATGACCTTGCAGTTCCTGCTTGGAGAGAAAGTGAAAGGAAAAAGGAACGGTGTCAAAGGTCAGTCTTTCTGGTTTCAGACAGACATAGATTTTCTTCCCCTAGGCTTCACTTCCCGGGCATTTGGCGCATCTACAGTGGCATTTTAGACCTGTCAAAGATTACAAAAGAAACACCTTTCTCACGAGTAAAAGAGATTATCATTCACCAAAAGTATAAAATCGCAGAAAGCCATCATGATATCGCCTTAATAAAACTTCAGGCTCCTTTGAATTACACAGGTATGTTGCATGTTTAAGGAGAAGCCGTTCTGTTGGTTCACATTTTCATATAAATTTGAATGAGAAGCGGATCTGGAGAGATTGTCTATTTTCTGGTTGGTGGAGCTGACGGAAAGGTGAGGGTGGCCAGTAGAGTGAATGCCCTATGACTTGCCACAAAATCACCTCTACTTAAGGCAAGAAATTTAATTACTTCTTTGCATACATACCATAGAAATGACAGGGGTCAGAATGTCGGTGTCGTTTGGGAAGCACTGGGCCTCTTTTGACAAGGGGCACGGAGTTAGCGTTGGTTAAGTTTAGCAATATTAGGGCTGTATGGAGCGAGTGGGGCTAGATACCAACTTCCAGGCATAATTTGAGTAGAGAAGAGCCTGGTGTAGAAAGAAGCCCGGAAAGACCGCAGCATCATGGTTAGGGTGCTGGCTTTGGAGGTTGCCTGTTGTGTCCACTAACAGAGGTCACCACATGGCCTACCTGTTTTGCACCTCTAATTTTCTCATCTGTAGAATGGGGATAACAAATTCCTCATGGGTTCGTTATGCGAAGTCAGTTAATCAAAGCACGTAACATATGGAACCAGACACTCTAACTATTGAGGCGCTCACTCTTACTGTGAAATGCTCTTCATAGTAAATTTGGGTTCTGGGTTTTTGATTCAGTGTAGAAAATGTTCATGCCACCTTGTGATTATGTAAAAATGATTCCGCTGGTGAGAAATGTAAATGACTTACTAATCTTAGAAGGTGAACATAAACCAATAGGGTTATTCTTGTAGAAAGGGAATACGAGGAAAGGGTGTATTTTTAAAGTCAGTACTCATTACTTTATTTAACCAAAGTCTAATTTGAAAATCACCTTTTAGAATTCCAGAAACCAATCTGCCTACCTTCTAAAGACGATGCAAATACACTTTATACCAACTGTTGGGTGACTGGATGGGGCTTCACAAAGGAAAAAGGTACAGCATGAGGTTGTACATTTTGTTCCTACAGCGAGTCTTACGTGTTAAAATACATAAAGTGAATCAGCTCCTCTCTAAAATTACATCCAAACTCATCATCTTTCATCGGAAAAGTCCTGACGTATTTTTCTATGCAAAAATGCGTCATGACTTTCCCAACGACTCAACAATCTATTCATCCAGTGATTCTTCTTTGTGGGGAAGTAGGCACAACTAGCTTATTATGTAATAATCCTGAGACATTACAAGTAGTCCTGGAAAAGCATTCCGATCGGAAAGAACAGCCTGTGCTCAGACTTTGGGCAAGAAAGAACAGGTAGTCTGAGAAGAAAAGGGGACCAAGAAGGCTGAGGGGAAGGAGTGAGGGACCAATGGCAGGACACGAGGTCAGAGGGAGACAGAAGCTCTGCTGACTATGGAGTGGGCTCTCTGCTGTTGCCATAAACTCAAGGGATTCCAGTGGCACAAAGACCATTCCCTTCAGAGATTCTCCAGGGAAGAGGTCCCCAGTAAAACATCACTACACAGGTGAAGCCTTAAGACATAGGGTGACAAGAGATGATAAGCAGTTGGATGATGGTAGGCTGATGAGAAACTTCCTGTTGAAGTTCTCATCTTGAAGCAGAGGGAAGCTGGATCCAGAAAGGGGACCCCCTGGAGCCAATGCCAAGATGACCAGCCTTCCTAGGGCTGTTATTTGGGGTCCTTGAAGGTGCAAGGACTAAGTGGAGGTGCTTCAAATGCCATTCAGTGATTCTTAAGAAGATGTGTTTTTGCTTGGACCCCCCAAATTATATGAGGTAACCCTTTAAGTATCTTACTTCAAAATAAAGATCATTTGCCTAACTCTGCTTAAAGGATTGGGCCCATACAGGTCTGACAAGCCAACTCGAGCCCATCCGGTTTTCAGTATTGATAGTTTTCCTAGCTCCCTGAACCGTGTTCTTCCTTAATGTTGATGGCCAGGAACATAGGCAGGTATGTAATCTCTCTTTATGGCCAGTTCTTAATTTTTTTCTGTTTTTTTAATTCACACTTCTTGCAATATGATGACACCTATGAACTACTTCTTTAATAATCCTTTTAAATGCCCAAGTAAAATGCATAGGACTATAAAGAAAACCAATTAAATTGTGATACAGTTATTAACGTACTTATTTGTATTGTTCACCAGAAGGCATATGTGCTCACCAGAGAGAGAGAGACAGACAGACAGACAGAGGGAGGAGGGAGAAAATGCTCCCTGTGGGACATGATTATGCTGCAATTCCTCCTCCATTTCTCCCTCCTTTTGGGTACACATGCTCAAACATGTATCCAGCATGTTTTTGTAGGCTTTTTCCATAGGGCATGTACACTCACCAGAGAGAGACAGAGAGAGAGAGGTGAGAAAGCACTCCCAAGGTGCGATGGCCATGCTGCCATCTCCTCTCCATCTTCCTCCTGGGATTTTGGGTGTGCTCATGTGCTTGGTATGATTTTCAAGCCACCGGATCAAGGTCTTAAAATATGGTTGGCTAATGGAATTCCAGCACCTCAACTACCAGGTCACCCACTGACCCGTCTGCCATGTTTTTAAGGCTGCCAAGTCAGGGCTCAAACTCCACGGTGGGTCATGTGGGACCAAGCTCCTCCAACCACTGGGCCACAGTCTTGCCCTATCAAAGTACTTTTTAAAAAGTGACACATGTTGGAATATTCACTTTGTAAGCTAAATAAAGTGATTGCATGTATAAAAGAAATAGAAATTAAAAGAAAGAAAATTTTTTTAAAAAGTTACTCTATGTTGACAAAATGTAACTAATTTTCATATACTTGCAATAATTGCATTTAACAATTCAAAATATCAAGTTTTATTAAATTCATGTATGTTAAAGTAAAGCCATTTTCCTGGGGAAAAAAATGATACAGTAATATATGTGCTTCCTTATTAATATATTACTTAGAAAGTTCTAATGTCTGCCATCATTTTGAAATAGTGGTGATATTTCTAGTTACCTGCCACTACTGTACTGTGATATGAAAACATCTGTAATCTCTATGAATGGCACTGTCAGAGGATGTGCAAATACTATTAATATAGTGGTGATATTTTTGTTTCCCTGCCACTACTGTACTGTGATACGAAAACATCTGTAATCTCTATGGATGGCACTGTCATGGGATGTGCAAATACTATTAACACATGGACACTGATGGAACTTAAAATATCTGTAAATAAATCATTCTTCATGGGAAAACTCACTTTAATTTGCTCAAAGAACAAAATACTCCGTTGCCAGAAGTTTGTATTTTTGTTTCCCTGCCACTACTGTACTGTGATACGAAAACATCTGTAATCTCTATGGATGGCACTGTCATGGGATGTGCAAATACTATTAACACATGGACACTGATGGAACTTAAAATATCTGTAAATAAATCATTCTTCATGGGAAAACTCACTTTAATTTGCTCAAAGAACAAAATACTCCGTTGCCAGAAGTTTGTTTGTTTTTTTTTTTTTAAGTGGTATGCTTTTTAAATGATCATTTTGAGTATATAACAAAAAAAAATGGTTTGGGGTTGTAGGCAATAAATATAAGAAGGGATGTCTATTGAGATTACAGAATAGAAAATATGGAAGCCAATTCTCTGGTCAGCTTGGGTGCTGGGACTGTCCCTGTACTGCATTAGAGATATTGTACTATGGCAGTGCGGCCACCGTTCTCTTGCTTGGGTTTATGTGTGTGTGCACAGTGTGTGTGAGTGTGCGTGCACTGTGTGTGTGTGTGTGTGTGTGCACGTGCGTGTGTGTGGGAATAACTCTACTTTGCCCACCGTTCCTGTCTATTTCTAGCCAAAGATATAACCCTTAGGAAACGTCCACCATTCTGATTTGCTTTAACACTGCAGTCTTAGTTCCACACGTATTGTATTTCTTTTCTCTGAAGTTATATATTGGTTTCTTCACAGGTGAAATCCAAAATATCCTCCAAAAGGTGACTATTCCTTTGGTAACAAATGAAGAATGTCAGAAAAGATATCGAAATTATGAAGTAACCAAACAGATGGTCTGTGCTGGCTACAAAGAAGGGGGGAAAGACGCTTGTAAGGTAATGCATTAGCTCATGGAAACACACGCTAGCCTGCTTGGGAAAATTAATTTCAAAATATATTTTCCAATAGTGTGTGTGTGTGTGTGTGTGTGTGTGTGTGTGTGTGTGTGTATGTATTTGCCATAGGGTGCCCATCACTGGAGAGGAGAGAGACAGAGAGAGACAGTGAAAGGCAAAGTGAGAAACCACCCCTCCCAGAGGGGATGGCCACACCGTAATCGCTTCTCCATTCTCCTCCTGGGATTTTGGGCTCACACACGTGCCCAGCGTGAGTTTCAAACCAGTAGATCCAGGACTCAAACTACAATTAGCCACGTGGGCATCCAGTGTATATTAATTCAGAAAAAAATGACCTGATAATTTATAAATCACCTATGAAAAACTGAATATGGCCCCGCCACAGTGCTCAGCAGTGGTGCAATGGTGCAATACAGTGCAATGCTGGAAGCCATATAGAAGATTGGGGTTCTGTTCCTGGGTTGGCCTGTACATGCCAGGTGTGTGTCTATGTGCCTCTGAGTCTGTCTGGCTAGGAAAGGCTGGGGCAGGGGTGGGAGGGTTGTAGTGTGAGACCCTGTTGAGAATGCTTTTATCTCTTTGTCCTCTTTCTTTTCTCTTCTTTGTCTCTTTCCTCTTTTTCTATAAATGAATAAACTTTAAACATGGAAAATACATAAAATATACTCTTTTTCTATAAATGAATAAACTTTAAACATTGAGTATACATAAAAGATATCATATATTATTTATGATATACTCTTCATGAACTATGCATGTGTATGTTTACTTAAGGGAGGGCAACTGTACATATAATAATTGTACTAAAATATCAAAACATTAGGTTTCCTTGTCATTGGGATGCTGATGACAAAATTTCCTTGTTGAATTTACCTTGGAACAGAGGAAGGAATAAAAATATAATGCAACTGGGACCAGCAGTTAGAGTAATGGTTATGTCGCTGGACTTCCATGTAGTCGACTGCAGTTCAAGTCCCAGACCCGGTGGCTTAAACTCACGCCAGGTGCGTGTGCATGCGTGCCCAAGATCCCAAGAGGAGAATGGAGGAGAAGGGATTGCGGTGTGGCCATCCCCCCTGGGGGGTGACTTCTCGCTTTCTGTCTCTCTGTCTCTCTCTGTCTGTCTGGCGAGCACACGTGCCCTATAGTAAAAACGTCTCCAAAAAAAATGTATATATATATAATGCAACAATACACTGCTTAATTAAATCACTTTCACCACTCAAGAGACACAGGAGGTATCACCCATGCATCATGTGTGTGTACCTGTGGTGTGACTACAGCATTTAACAGCAGTTACTTATTTGAATTACATCTGTTATAACTTTCTATTATTTTATTTTTCCATTATGACACAGGGAGATTCAGGTGGTCCCTTGGTTTGTAAACACAATGGAATCTGGCAGTTGGTTGGCATCACCAGTTGGGGTGAAGGCTGTGGCGCCAGAGAAAAACCAGGTGTCTACACCAAAGTTGCTGAGTACGTGGACTGGATTTTAGAGAAAACACAGGACAGTGATGGAGACACTTCATGAGGTCGCCGGTGTGAAGAGACTGAGGACTGAGGAAGAAGTCAGTTTCTAACACTCACTTGACAACTCGGCTTCAAGTCAAATACTGAGACTTGGAGTCATCTGCAAATCACTGAGAGCAGTTGCATCTTTGTCATAGGATTAAAGAGGAAGTAGGAAGTTTCTGAGGACAGTGTCTTATTTTCAGCATTTAGTGACTGGGACCTAATAATAGGAGACGACAAAAGAAGATCTTTAATGTTGTTTGCTGTGAAGTAAAATAGCAAAAGGCTATGATTAAGAAGGGCTTTCTTTCCAACTGAGTGCTTTCCCATCCTTTGGGTAAATTCCAAGGAGCGGTATTATGGGCTCATATGGAAGTTCTATTTGTAGGTTCTTAAGGAGCCTCCATATTGTTCTCCTCAGTGGCTGAACCAACTTACATCCCCACTAGCAGGTATAGAAGGGTTCCCTTTTCACCACAGCCTCACCAGCACTAGTCGTTCTTTACTTTTCCTGATGAAAGCCATTCTTTCTGGAGCTAAGTGCTACCTCACAGACGAGGGAGTGGATAGCAGAGGGTGGGTGGGGAAGACTTAAGGAAGACCTGCTTAATAGACATAGAAATCTGAAGTTCTCCGATGAGAATGATGTACGTGATAATACCTCGATGTGATTGTCACATACCGCGTGTACACTTTGTGTGCCGTAGAGATGTACAACAGTGAAATGTGAATACGAAATCATAAAAAGTAAATACAGTTTTTGAAAAGTGTTTTCTTTTGCTGGTCAAACGGAACTAAAAAAAGTGACTGAAGACTTAGTGCAGTGCCGGGGCCATAGTAATCTTAGGGCTTCCTCGGAAACCCAGTATAGCTCAGAGATACCATCTCTTCCCTGTGTCTCACTTGCTTGGTCATTAGAACCATCTACTGCATTCTTTACTTCAGACAAAGAGCTGTTAAGCTTGAGCTTTGTTCTCCCGAGTGGAAGGGAGCAGACCCGCATGACACTCACTTACGAGAAAGAGAAGGGCTGCCTGGGTGACCTTGTCATGTCAGCCTCCTACTTTGTCACCTGTACATTACCACAGCGTGCCAGGCTGGGCCTGAGGAGGCCAGTGGGACCACAGTCATTCTTGTTGCAGGTCTTGCCATGAGTTCGTGGCATAGTCTTCACGGAAGGCAAAGAATCTGCTTTGTGAAGGGCATTAATTGTGGAGGTTCAGTGGATATCAGGTTCCACGATAGTAATTCGAGAGGCATTTGTGAGGGGTCAGTTCTGTGGCACAGCAGTAACTCACTGATCAAGAGAAGCCAGATCTCCCATGGTGACCTTGAATCCTTGACTCAGTCACACTGAAACAAAGCAGACATTGGATTCCAATCTTGGGGGGCCTTGTGGGATCTGGTTCCCTTACCCACTAGGCTATAGAGTTGGCCCTGAATATTGATAATTCTAAAAGGTGCTTGAATAAGACTTTGGAGGGCTAATAGGGTAATTCTTAGGGCTTTTGTTGGTCAGGCAATGACCTAGTTTGAGCCAAAGGAAGAGGGGAATTTTGAAATGTGGGACTTTCCCAAGACATAAACGATCATTTTAAAGGTGCCAGTTGGAGCCCCATAGTACTGGAAGGCCTCTTTATTACTTACTGTGTATTTGTGTCCGGGGTGAATAGAAGAACCCTCCACAGAGCCAGAACTTCATGGAACTCAGAAGTGTTGAGGAGATAAAGACAGTGAGAGCTGAAATGACATCAGTCTCATGAGGAGTGAGGCGGGAGGCATGAGTCTCCAGCAGCTCATTCAAGAAACAGTGAGGCAGGGCTGACCATGGATGCAGTTGTGCCATGCCTGTGACAACAGCAGGCATGTGGAAGACACAGCACATGACATGCATCCCAGGCAGAGTTAGCCAAGGACTCTGTCATCTGTCCTGTTCTTCACCAAGGTGTGGGGCACCTCTAATTTCAACTGGGAAACTTCTCTTTTAATGATTGTTTATGTCTGTGTGCCTGACTAAACCGTGAACTGCTCCAAAGGAGGCTCTCTTTCATCCCTATTGTGTATAAATAGACATTCAGGGGACCAGCAGTTGGTGTAATGGTTATGTCGCTGGACTCCCTTGTAGTCAGTCACAACCATAGTTCAACTCCTGGACCCAGCGGCTTCAACTCATGCTGGGCGCATGTGCATGCAGGTCCAAGATCCTGAGAGAAGAACGGAGGAGAAGGGATTTCGGCGTGGCCATCCTCCATTTCTTGCTTTCTGTCTCTCTGTCTCTCTCTGTCTTTCTGGAGAGTGCACATGCCCTATAGCTAAAGCCTCACCAAAAAAAAAAAAAAAATAGACATTCAGTAAATGTCTAATGAGTGAATACATCCTTATTGTAAAGATGAGGCAATGAGGCTAAAGGAGATAAAAATTAGTTCAAGGTCACAGACAAACACATAGTCAGGACTAAGCTTGGCATTCATACATATCCCAGAGAGTGTCCTGTAGGCCTGTATCATGTGACCCCATGGTATGAGAAGGGTAAAAGATGACAAGAGCATTGACAACAGTGTTTGTTATTTTCACTGTTATCTAAGACAGTGGTTCTCAGCTAGGGGTGCCATGAGGGATCTCAATGTCTAGAGGCATTCTGGGTTGTCACCACTGGGGGATGGGGTGCTCCTAACCACCCTGCAATGCTCAGGACAGCCCTGTACAACAAAGCATTGTCGACAAAAATCAATAATGCCAAGCTGGAGAAACTCTGATCAACAGTAGTCAGCATTTTAATAATGATGCCAGCCATGGTGGCCGGGTGCCAGCACCACACTCTGCAATGATGACGCCATAAAGAAGATCAGGGTTTGGTTCTTATGTCAACTTGCACACACGAAGCACCCCTGCATGGGAACGGTGACTCTGGCTGTTTGGGAAGAAGCCAAAAGAGGGTCTCATCATGAGAGCCTATCGAGAGCTCTGTCTCTCTCTCCCATGTCTCTCATGAAGTAGAGAAAGCAAACACACAAACATTTGAACGAAAGAAGAATTTCAAGGGCAGTGAGAAGGGGATTGCAGGAAATGGCCAACCATGCCCTTTGTCAAAGGGAGTTTTGCTGAGAGAAGAAGCTCAAGAGAAAGTAGAATGTGGCTATGACCGAGAATGTGGCTTCGCCCCGCCATTGCCTTTATGATCGTCCCCATCCCAGACAGAGGGTTTTGGTCATAATTTGCCCAACACACCCCTCATCTGTGGTGCTGCGTTCTGACCTGAACTTGGGTCTCTGTAGACCAAATTCTAGGTTCCTCCTGAGATTGCGTTCCCAACTTTGATCAGACTTCAAGAACATTTTATATCACGCACACACACACACACACACACACACACACACACACGCCAAACTGTAGCTTTAAGATGAAAGTGATCTGTATCGGAATTTTAAGCTTGAATGCACTAGTTGGAAAGAATTTTTAGAGTACCTACTACCAGTTTGAAAGAAAGGTCTTTTTCATCTCAAAGAGTTTCTATGCAGTTAAGATAAATAGACAAAAATAGTTTGGAATCCTTTTACTATTTATTTCAAAGGTTTGTATTTCCTCAGCCAAATATAGGAAAGTATTCTTTGGTCTTCCAATGAAGCTCCTCTCTTATTTAGACTTTTTCTGTCTTTATTTTTGTTTTACTGGGGACTTAGGATAGAGATGGGCTTTCATAGAGCAGACAATATGGGAATACCAGGGTCTTATATAACCTCACATATCAGTTTTCCATGAAAGCCTTTCTCAGCATATGTTTGTCATTCTGTTAGAGCCTCACAGAAGGCAATACATCATAAATATGTGTTTCGTGTGTAGCTAGAATGCACTTAAATTTAAACGGGAAATTCAAGAAGATAACTAAAGACTCTTTATGTCAAGATGGGTCACTCTTTTTCTTTCTTTCTTTCTTTCTTTTTTTTTTTTTGAGAGTTTTTTTGCGATAGGGTGTGTGCACTTGCCAGACAGACAGAGAGAGACAGAGAGACAGAAAGCGAGAAATCACCCCCCAGGAGGGATGGCCATGCCCCAATCCCTTCTTCTCCATTCTCCTCTAGGGATCTTGGGCACACATGCACACGCGCCCGATGTGAGTTTAAGCCACCGGGTCTGGGACGCAAACCATGGTCAACTACATGGGAGTCCAGCGACATAGCCATTAGCTAACTGCTGGTCCCAAGATGGGTCACTCTTTATGTTAAGAGAGGCAATAGACCAAACAAAAATACCTGAATCACTGCCTTCTAAGTGGGTCATCACAGTAGTTCTTTAGCACTCAACATTAAAACCCCTTCTTAGTTCAAATCCCCTTCCCTTTCTGTCCTAAGGAACAAAATGCTAGCTTCTCTTTCCTTTTCAAAAATTTCCCACAGGGCCAGCAGGTGACATCGAGGTTAAGCCTACTAGATCTCACATAGCCTACTCTGTGGTTCGAATCCCAGGCCTGGTGACTTGAAAATCATGCTGAGCATGTGTGTGTGTGTGCCCCAAATCCTGAGAGCAGAATGGAGGAGAAGGGATTGCAATATACCCATGCTCCCTGGAGAGTGATTTCTCACTTCCCTTCTCCTTGTTTCTGCCTCTGTCTGGTGAGCACATGTACCCTATAGCAATAATATAAAATTAAATTCCCACAAAGATGTACAACAGTTAAATGTAAATAAGAAATTATAAAACAAAAAAATACAAAAAAAAAGAAACCTGATATGATTATAGTCAAATGTGCCTCTACTTTGCTAACTATTCTTTATTGTTTCCTTGAATAGTTCTCTCTTGCCCTACATCAAGTATGTGACAGGGCTGTCCAGTATTTCCAATTCTGGGTCATCTTTCCATTTAGATTCTTGACCACTAGGGACTCAGTACCGTACAGCTTCCGAAACTATTCACATAAAGCCCATGGCAGCATTACTATAATAGATAGGAAATGAGATTGTCTCTCAATGTCCGGAAATAGTGAAGTATTTAAAATAGACTGTTGATGCACTGGGTGTGTGTGTGCACGTGCCCAAAATCCCAGGAGGAGAATGGAGGAGAAGGGATTGTGGTGTGGCCAACCCCCTTGGGGGCAGGGGGTGATCGCTCACTTTCCCTCTCACTGTCTCTCTCTTTCTCTCTCTCTGTGGTGAACCCTGTGACAAAAAACCTTAAAAGAAAAAAAAACATAAATAAATAAACCACTGGTGTTTTCTAGGTTCAAAAGATCACATTAGCACACTGTCCCTGAACAAAGTCCAATGTTTCTCTGGTACACGTACTCCACCAAGATCTCCAACAGGGACTAACTCAACATTCTATTTCTCCCCTAGTCCTCAGAATAGATTTTTTTTTAAATTATAGTTCTGTTTATAAACTCAAGATCTTTTTTAGCTTTTCTATGGAATATTAGAAGCCCTTGCTGAACCACAAAAATTTCTTTAAATTTTATTTAAATAAGGCATACTGAAAAACATTTTCTCTTTTTCTGCTTTATCTTGTTTTTTTTTTTTCTTGTTGTTGTTGATGATGATGTGTGGTTTTCAGTGGGCCACACAGAACTTCTCAAGCCTCGTTAGTACCTAATGTTGTAAATGAGGTCCTGAAACCCAGGGAGATTAAGTGACTTGGTCAAGGACCCAATTGGCCTCCTGCATAATAAACTGTTCTCTGCTCAAGCCACCTGCCTAGTAAACTAATTTTTAATTCCGAGTGACAGAGGGCATGGAATCCCACGCCTTCCTTGAAGTCCTTCTTCAAGATCAATGGGAAGATCCTTAGCAGAAATGGAAGTATGTGAAACCCAGAAAAGTACTTCACAAGCTTTCCTCTCTGCAAACTGCCCTAATTCCTGGGAAGCTTTCTCCAGTGCAAGGCCCCCTGATTCTTTAAGGAATTGACGTGTTCTTTATTTACCGTTTGTCATGCGACAGCTAGACATGTCACATCTTAGCTCTGCATGTGTGTCTCCGTGTCCCCAGGTCTAAAGAAAGCTGTGAAAATCCCAGTTTCTCCATTAAGTTTAGGCTTTCAACATTTCATTCAGAAAAAACAAACAAGCAAACAGAAAACGAGCTTAGTTCCTTAGAAGTTATCCTATCTGCACAGGCCTCAGATGAAGTAACATTAAATAAAGGGAAACTGAGTCAACGAGAGAAGTTCATAAAGTGTATTACCTGTACACCACCCACCCTCCCCCAGCTCACACCAGCAGAAGTCTTCCTTCATTAGCCTGTCAATCAATGAGCCCATCAGACTTCCCCCGTTTTCTTTTTTTACTGTGGGATTCAGTGGAGGCTGAAATGAATGGTTAACGGTTACTATTTGATGGTGTGATGAAGAGCTCCTTGGGCGAGCAGACAGAGCAAAGCGTTTGCTGGACGGCTGAGGCACACAGGCAACTTCGAGATGGCTCCCTAGCGATCTCTGCGTATGTCACTTTCAATATGCAATGAAAGAAAAACAAACAAACCTAATGATTTTAAAAAGCAAGCAGCTCTCCCGAAGTTTCGTTTCTAAGATTTTTAAGGACTGTAACAGATAATGCTGTACAAAGATTATGTTACATAACATTGGAAGCCAGTAAAAGTAAATATTAAAGTTAAGTGAACATTTACCCACACAAGCTCATTTAGGGGAGGATGAAGATCGTTTTGAAAGAAGAAAAACACCCTTATTAAGAATTGCAGCAAAAAAGCAAACAATATTTTCAGGTATAGTCCCAAAAATTATTTAAAATTTCTCTCAAGCAATTATTCCTTGAAATGTCTTTCTTTCTTCTTTCTTTAAAAATAGTTTACAATAGAAAATTATTGATTTTTAAAGTGGACCTGATTTAACATTTTAGTAATTAAAATGTTACTATCCATGACCAGTTAGAGAGGGGGTGCAGAATGAAAGAGAAGTAGTAGTTTCTAGTCAATAACAAGTGTTTTACAAATTAAAAGGACATTTGAGAACAATATTCAAAAATCTGAAGTCTTGATGAATCTCCCTAGTGAGTCAGTTTTCCATAGAGCAGTTCAATCAATGCTTAGTTTACGTTTACGGGTGACCAAGAGTGTCTATTAAAATATTAGCAGCAGATTTTTTGAATAGAAAACTGCTTATGTAAAAAAAACACTCAGTCCTTTGATATACAGAAAGATTTTAAAAAACAGAAGGAAAATAAAACTGGAAGAGGAGGTCAAGATGGAAAATTGACTTGGAGAGAGGGTCAGATATGGTATGTAGTGTCTGGTTAATAGTTGTGGGGAGAGGGAGACCACCAGAGAAAGAAGAAAACCTTTTCCTTGTCCACTCTTGCTTCTGCAGAACTATGGAAGCACACACACACGCTGAGGAAGCTGCAGGACCTGGGGCAGCTAAAAGTCAGCATTACGATAGGAACCCTATGAACGCCATGGAATGACCCACCCTCCTCCCTCTCTAGTTCTTCTAAGTCTTGATGTCAGATAATTAATACAAATTCACATTTTATGTTCTAAAAACATGCACATTTTTCTCTTCATAGGATGATTTTATCATATCACATGGTACATTTCATTTTATTTGCCTCAGTTTCTGGTGGTAAGTAGAGTTTTATCTTAAGTTTGGACTAGAAAGAGTTTGGTTCTCTGACCTATAGACTGCAAAATGAGAGAGCAAAAGCCCAGAGAGAGAAATCACCCATTTCCTCCATCCATGCAGGAGAACCCCATACCACCAGCTACAGGGAGGAAATACTACAGCGTATGTGGGCAGGCCAGTGCTGTGGGGGTTCAGGTGGCTGGGTCCCACATGACTGATCATGTGGTTCAAGTCCTGGACTCTGCAGGTTGAGAAGCACAGCAGGAGAAACACACACGTGAGTGCGTGCCCAAAATCTTGAAGGAAAAGAGGATGGAAGAGAAGGAATTGCAGTGTGACCATGCCCCATGAAGGGAGGGGAGGTGCTATCTTGCTCTCTCTCTCTCTCTTTCTCTGGTGAGCACACATACCCTCTGGCAAAGTTTACTTTTAAGAGTTTATTTATTTTCTGTTTATGGGTCCAAAGGTTTTCAAAGCAGGAAAGGAAACTGAGGAGTAGGTTGATGATGGTTGGAATCTGTATCTGTCTTCTTCCTCTATCTACATCTATCTATGTAACTCATTTAAATAATATTTAAGAGTGATATTAAAAAGCAGACATCTTAATTTGCCACGCTAATTAGTCAGTTTTCCATAAAGCAGTTCAACTCAATGTAATGCACACATAGACAATAGTAATTTCAGACTGAAAAATGTTAAGTAAATATTCAATAATTGTACCACTGTTACTAATTGTCTACATAAAGTCCACTGAATTTGTTTATAAATTACTTAAATAATAGTCAGTAGGACATATGAGTCCAAGTATTTTTTAGTCTATTTTTATTTAAAATGAAAGCTAAGTATTCCTTTAAAAAAACAACTTGTGTGTATCACATTTAATTTCTGATACTGTTGTAGCATTTTTCTGTATAGTAAATTTGTATATGTAAAAAGTGGAAAAGCTAGACAAACATATTTAAAGCAAATTCCACTTAATATATTAAATTATACAGTGCATAATTCCATTTTTCTTTGTGTAAGAATTATTATTCAGGTTATTACTTTCCTTCATTGTCATTATTTTGAAATTGTGTTTTCATTTCATTGATAAAAATGTCAGTATGAACACAGCTGACATATTTTGAACACTGGACCCAAGAGCTGTATATATACATATAAAAGTTCTTTTTACATGCTTATGAAACATTTCAAATCTTGACCACCTATGAGACCCTAAAAAAGGTCTCAGAAAATTTCAAAAGATTGGGACCAGCAGTTGATGTAATGGCTATGTCGCTGGACTCCCATATAGTCAACCACAATTCGAGACTCAGACCCAGTGACTTAAACTCACACTGGGCTCATGGGCATAAGTGCCCAAGATCCCAAGAGGAGAATGGAGGAGAAGGGATTGAGGCATGGCCATCCCTCCTGTGGCTGGGGGTGGGGGGGATGATTTCTTGCTTTCTGTCTTTCTGTCTTTCCCGCAAGTGCACATGCCCTATAGCAAAAGCCTCTCAAAAAAGTGAAAAAGCCTCAAAAAAAAAAACCCCAAAAAAAAAAAAAAAAAAAAAAAAAAAAAAAAGATTAAAATCACCATGGAATTAAGCTAAAATGAACAAAAGTCAATTCAAAAATCCTCCAAATGTTTGAAAATTAAATATACCTGTATTATTTATTTAAATAATTCATTTTTTCTTCACTTTCTTTTTTTAAAGAATTATTTTTTAACTTTATTTATTATTCTATCATTATTATTTTTCAGTTTGATCAGAGAGAGACAGAGAGAGAGAGAGAGAGGAAGTGAGAAAGCAAGCCACCAGATCCAAGACTTGAACCGTGGTCAGCCATGTGGGAGTTCAGCGCCTTTAACCACCACACCACTTGCTGGTCCCTATTTATTTATTTATTTAAAATTTTACCAGAGAGCATGGGCACTCATTGGAGCAAGACTGAGAGAGAAAGGGAAAGTGAGAAAACATTTCTTATGGAGGACGGCCACACTATAATCCAGTCCCCTTTAGACTGAGAGAGAAAGGGAAAGTAAGAAAGCATTTCTTATGGAGGACAGCCACAGCAATTTGGGCACACATGCACATGCACCTGGAGTGTTTCTCAAGTCACCAGGTCTGGGACTCCAACCATGCAGTCGGTCATGTCAGATCCAGCAGCTTTAACCACCACAGCACAAGCCAATCCAAATATACCTTTTTTTCTTTTTTTTTCTTTTTTTTTTTTAAACAAATAAGGGCCAAAGAAGAAATCACAGTGGAAATTTTTAAATATACTGAATTAAGCAATAATAAAACATGGCATATCAAAACTTTGGGATGTAGTTGAGTAAGTACTGAGCTATAGACTCCTATGGATCAATTAGGAAAAAAGTGAAAACAACACAGGAAAAGAGCAAGAAGATAACAAATACCAAATTAAATGCAAACTAGAAAGCAGTAAAAAATGAAAACATAATGGAAGTTAACCAAATGGAAAACATTATTAGAGAAGTTCAACTTAGTCACATTGCCTACCCCATTTAATATGGTGAGTGTAATCTTGATACCAAAGGGACATTCTGAGATGGTGCTGATGGACCCACAGTTAATGCCGTGGACTTGTACCAACAGTTAGTGTAATGGCTGTTTGGCTGGACTCCCACGTAGTCAATCACAGTTCGAGTCCCGGACCCGGTGGCTTAGCATCACGCCAGGTGCATGTGCATGCGTGCCCAAGAGCCTGAGAGGAGAATGGAGGAGAATAAATGAGAATGGATTGCGGCATGGCCATCCCCCCGGGGGGCGATTTCTCGCTTTCTGTCTCTCTGTCTCTATCTGTCTCTCTGGCGAGCGCACACACCCTATAGTAAAAACCTCTCCAAAAAATAAAAAATAAAAATCAGTCCATGCAGGAGAAAATTTTTTGATAAAATTTCATTAATGATCAAAACTTTAGCAAATTGGAAACAGAAGGGAACTTCCCTAATAAATGGTATCTTAAAACTAACACATGGAAATTCAAACCAAAAATCTTCAAGAAAACTGATCCTTAACAGTGAAATAGTGAAGCTTTTCCTAGAGATTGAGAAGAAGACAGGATATTCCTGTTCCATGGAACAGTGTACTGGAAATTCCAGCCAGTGCAGTACGGAAAGACAAAGATGAAAAGCTGAAAGAGTAGAAGGAAATAAACTCTTGTTCAGAGACAGTATGTGTCTAGGCCTAGAAAAATAAATAACCACCAATACAAACTATTTGAGCCAGTAATTTAAATTAGCAAGAATTCCGAGTACAACATCAATGTACAAAACCAAACCCTTGCTGCATAGTAACAAACACCATATTAACCAGCTTTTACTGGTGCTAGAAAGTGGATTAGGACTTTTCTATCAGCCTTGCAAAATGAAACGATCCAATACATAGAGGATAGATTCCTTAAAAAATTAGCACATATATGAAATATATAAAATCTACATAATTTACTAAATAATTAATATTCTTCTTTAAAGTAATATTTGAATGTAGCATGATTGCTTTGCACTAAAAGGTAGTGTCTCCAAAGTCAGTAGAAAGACGTTGGAATGAGAATAGACTCGCCATTAATGGCGGCGGCCATGTTAGTCGGTGGGAAGCTGCATAGAGCTTGGGGACAGAAGGCAGGTTTCTGTCAACCCCCAGGTCACTCATGGGATAGCTGCCAGTTTTGGGGAAAACCATGCTAGATATAGAGGTTCTAGTTAGGTGATTTGGAAGGCTTATGTGGTAACTTTTTGAGGAGTGTCTGATTGTTTATTTCTCTCATGAGTCCCTTTGGTAATTTAGCGAACACTATGGTCTCTATTTTTAGATTAATGTTTCTAAAGGCATAAAGTAAACCACCTAAGATTACCAAGGAAACTAATTATATAGAAATATAGTTAATTAAAATGTAAAAATATTACAGTGCCGTAGAAATCGGTGTGGAGATTTTTAACATAGTATGTAACGAGATTTAGTGGTGAGTCTAAAACTATATAGATTTAATGTCTACAAAACTAGTAATGAGTGATAATGATATCTTGACCTACTTTAAACTGTGATTTTAAAAAAAGTTACTACTATTACAACAACATCACGGAGGCTATAAATACTAACATGGTTTGTTGCTTACATTAAGAGTAGAAGAATATTCCACATTTCATTAGCTATTAGTGAAAATAAAGATGTAATTTTCGAGCCAGCAAGTGGTGTAGTGGTTGAGGTGTTTGATTCCCCCAGGCTGACTATGGTTCAACTTCTTTTTTTGTTTGTTTTGTTTTCTTTTTAAAGAATTATTTTATTTAACTTTATTTATTTGTTTGTTTTAAAAACAACAAGAGACAGAGAAAGAGATGGGGGAGAGGAGGGGAAGGTGAGAAAGCAAACTACCAGGTCCAGGACTCAAACTGTGATTGGCCATGTGGGAGTCCAGCGCACCCAACCACCATGCCACCTGCCAGTGCCTAAATTAGTACTTCTTAGTAAAAACATGCCAGCCCTAGAAAGTACAACTTTTTATTCAGTGGCCAGGGAACAAATAACCTAAAAGTTACACAAAATCTGGAATATCAGATACTTGCTACTAGTAATAGGAAAAAAATCATGCAATTTATGTAATTTATTTATTCATTTAAATTTGCTATAGGGTGCGTATGCTTGCTAGAGAGAGACAGAGAGTGAGAAAGCGTGAAATCACCCCCACCCTGAGGAAATGGCCATACTGCAATTCCTTTTCCTCCATTCGCTCAGGATTTTGGGCACACGTGCACATGGGTCCAGCATGTTCTCTAGTTGCTGGGTCAGAGACTCAAACCTTGCATTTGGCCCAATAGGATCCAGCTGCCCTAACCACCATGCAGCCAGCTGGCCCTTTTATAAATGATCATTTTTAAAAGTAAACTTATTTTTCATTTCAGCTGAAGGGGATTAATAACTTTGTATGGATTAGTAATTTTTCTGAAGCTAAAATTTCTGTTAGTAGATTAACTCATTTTAAATGATGAGACAGCGAAGTGTGTCATCTCATCCAGGGGCTCCAGATACTATCGAGATACGACCACTCTGCAGCCTCTGTTCATATTAGCAACGTTTAGGCAAGGAGGAAGAAAAGGGGAACATCTTCTGCCAATAAAGGTCAGAGAGATGATTCGATCACCCGCCAAGCACGTAATGCTTTCAAACAACCGATCATAAGTAAAACTCCACTGAGGCGAGGTGCCCCTTGGTGGTTTTATTACTTTTCATCTTCAGCTGTCCAACTACCAGTCTAACATAAAAGTATTGAATATCTTAGTTTCCACATTCGGGCACAGTTCTCGGTGAGTAGACGTGCTTGTTTCGCCTTCATGAGATTTTTATCTTATTAGTTCTGTGTCCTTTGAAATCCAGAATAATACTGGTCATGTATTGCATCATAGGCTGTGTGACCAAGCTGCTCGGAGATACTCACTTTCAGGGAGGAGACCTTACTACTGTTTTTGCACCAAGTGCTGAGCACTGCCAAGTGGTCTGCACCTACCACCCCAGATGTCTGCTCTTCACTTTCATGGCTGAACCATCTGCAGATCCTGCCAAATGGTAAATTTGTGTGTCTATATAGAAGAAATAGATTTTATACAAAATGACCAATTCATAAATTTCTGTCTATAATTTTATAAAATTCAATGTTGACAGTCAGAAAAACATTTTCCTAATTGATATATTCTATATTAAATGTTGTGGGAAAAATATGGTGTGTAGGCAGATTAGCGAGAAATAAAAATGTCTCCCAAGGAGGGAGGCTAGAAAGCCTCTCTGTTGTCTCAGTATTTGTGGTACATTTTCTCTGTTCCCCTTTCTATGCTTCTTAGTCATTTTGTTCTTTGATTTTCTACTGTTTGTTATTATTTGATATTATTTAAAGTGGAACTCCCAATTGTTTTATTAGAAAAAATAATTTTTAAAAAATAGTATTTTAAAAATAGTATTTAAAAAAAATAGTAAAAAATAGTATTAGGTTGGTGCAAAAGCACTTGTGGTTTTGGATCATGAATTTTTAATCATTATAACTAGGCTCAAACACACCTTTATTAATCAAAATAGGAACCATTACAGTGAACACATTTTTGCCAGCAAGAAATAAATTTGTTTATTACTGTAGCATAAAAATCCATGCTTTGGGATTTGATGAGCTCTTGGAAAGCATCTTCCGCATCCTGCTGGTTGTAGAAGTGTTTTCCCTGTGAAAAGTTCCGAAGATGCTTGAAGAAGTGGTAGTCAGTTGGTAAGAGGGCAGGTGAATATGGCGGATGAGGCACAACTTCACAGCCCAGTTCATTCACCTTTTGAGACGTTGGTTGTGTGCCAAGTGGTCAGGTGTTGCTGTGGAGAATTGGCCCCTTTCTGTTGACCAATGTCAGCTGCAGATGTGCAGTCAGCTCCATGCATCTAATCAATTGCTGATCAGATTTCGCAGATGGAATGGTTTTGTTGCAGAAAGCTGCAGTGTATTGGAGCCCACAATATAGTGGCCATGACCTTTTGTTGGTTCAAATTTGTCTTTGAAACATGCTTCAGAGCTTCTTCTTGGTCCAATCACTGAGCTGACCATCGCTAGATGTTGTATAAAAATCCACTCTTTGTCACATGTCATAATCCAGTCAAGAAATGGATTGTCGCTGTTGCATAAAGAGACGATGATCCTTGAAATTTTTTAGATTTTTCCATGCACTCATGAGATGCCCACTTACTGAATTTTTCACCTTTTCAGTTTGCTTCCAATGCCAAATGACAGTAGAATGATGTTTTGAGTTCTTCAGTAACTTCTCCTGTAGCTGTAAAAGGGTCAGCTTCCATAACTGCTCTCAGTTGGTGGTTGTCAACTTCTGATGGCCGGCTACTATGCTCCTCATCTTCAAGGCTCTCATCTCCCTTGCAAAATTTCTGGAACCGTCACTGCTCTGTATGTTTGTTAGCAGTTCCTGGGACGAATGCGTTGCTGCCGTTTCAAATGGTCTCTGCTGCCTTATGATCCATTTTTGAACTCGAATAAGAAAATTGCTTGAATTTGCTTTTTGTCTAACATCATTTCCATAGTCTAAAATAAATATAAAACAAACAGTAAGTAATAAGTCATTAGCAAAGAAAAAAAAACATACAGTGAGAAACGTGCATTAAAATGATGTATAACATAACCACATTTATTTAAGAATATATCCAATACTGTGGCCAGTAAGGGGTGGGTAAGGGGTTGGATTTTTTTTTTTTTGTTTTTTTTTTTTTTTTTGGAGAGGTATTTGCTATAGGGCGCATGCGCTCACCAGACAGACAGAGAGAGACAGAGAGACAGAAAGCAGGAAATCCCCCCCCAGGGGGGGTGGCCATGCCACAATCCCTTCTCCATTCTCCTCTCGGGATCTTGGGCACACACACACACACGTGCCCAGAGTGAGTTTAAGCCTCTGGGTCTGGGACTTGAACCACGGTCGACTACGTGGGAGTCCAGCGACATAGCCATTATGCTAACTGCTGGCCCCAGGTGCTGGACTTTCATGTGACTGACTACAGTTGAAGTCCCAGACCTGGTAGCTTGAAAATCATGCTGGGCATGTGCGAGTGTGTGCACAAAATCCCAGGAGGAGAATAAAGAAGGGATTGTGACATGGACATTCTCTCCAGGGGTTATTTCTCACTTTCCCTCATACCTTCTCTGTCTGTTTCTCTCAAAGAGGGCACAGGTCCTACAGCAAAAATATAAAGAGAGAGAGAGAGAGAGAAAGAAAGGAAAAAAAGAATCCAATCTCAAATGGCAAATTTCAACAATGCAAAACCGCAATTACCTTTGCACCAACAATCCCCTGACATTTTTACTTACCTACACATGTATACGTGTTTAATGAACTGAAGTAATTTTATTTTATTTAATTAATTATTTTATTTTTGGAGAGGTTTTTACTATAGGGCGCGTGCACTCGCCAGAAAGACTGAGAGAGGCGGAGAGACAGAAAGCGAGAAATCACCCCCCAGGAGGGATGGCCACGCCGCAATCCCTTCTCCTCCATTCTCCTCTTGGGATCTTGGGCACGCATGCACACGCACCCGGCATGAGTGTAAGTCACCAAGTCCAGGACTCAAACTGCGGTGGACTACATGGGAGTTCAGCGACATAGCCATTACGTCAACTGCTGGTCCCATGATCTGAAGTAATTTTAAAACATGATTCTCCACCTCAATATTTCAACATACATCATCCTACACACACACACACACACACAAAACAAAACAACAAACAAACAAACAAAAAACAGGAGAAATTTAGTAAGAATCCCTTTATATTGTCTCTTTCCCCCCAAATGTAATTCATAACTATCCACCAGAATCTTAACAAGATTCACAAAGTGCATTTGGTTGTTTTATCTCTATAATGGTGTTCAAAAACCTTAAGAACATTCCGTCCACCACTTTGGCTTCCATGTTGAATTTGAAAAGTCAGTAATAACACCTTTCTACAGAATTAGGTTTTCAAGCTCTCCATTGGTGCATTGAGATATTTACGAAGCAATCTGAACTTACAAAATCTACTATTCTAGAATCTAAAACATGGATCAGAAAACGTTTTCTTAACAAGATTTTAGGAATTGTGAGTCCGGAGGCTAAATCAAAGACATTATTTAAGTGCTTGTACCTGAATCACCTTTTAAAATGTAACTATTACAAAATGTAAATACCTGGGTCAGCTCCATGGCCTAGTGGTTAGGAGCACCGGATCCCACATGGCAAAACATGGGACTCAAATCCTTGGCCACTTGAAAACCATGCAGGTGCGTGTGAGTGCACGCTCCAGATCCCAACAAGACAGAGATGACAGAGGAGCGATTGCGGCATGAACACACCCCGCGGGGGTTGTTTCCCCTCTTCCTTTCTCTTTATGCTCTCTCTCTATTTTTCTCTAGTGAGTGTATGTGCCCTCTGAGAATTTAAAAATGGAAAAGAAAATGACCAAAACAGGCAGATTTTTGGCTACATTTTACCAACAGGCCATAGTTTTCCCACTTCTGTTTGCTTTCTGTAATCCAGACTAGCAGATGGGTTTGTGTTTGTTTGCTTTAGTTTTAGTTTTTCAGAGGACATGTGCCCACACCAGCGAGAAACAGGGTATGGTCTTGTTGCGGTCCCTTCTCTTCCGTATTTCCATCCTGCGAGGCTTGGGGGCACGTATGCACACATGTCCTGTGTGTCCTTCAAGCCACTGGGCAATGATCCAGACCCCTTAGCCAGTGTACCCCAAGGCCAGCTCCAGATGGACTCCTGTATTTAGAAATTCTGGACTTGAAAAAACCTCACACTCTTGCCAAGGAAATATTTGTTTGGGCGTGTGATGGAGTTGTTTGTTCCCTTCTCTTTGGCTTGCTGTGTACTTCCTTTTAAGACTGACTATTTTTTAATTGCCAGAGGAAATGTATTTATGCCAGAGAGACATGACACATCCTTCCTCCCCATGGAGCTTGGTCATGCCTCAATTCCCCTTTTTCCATTCCTTCCTCCTGTCAGGGTCATGGACACACGCATGCCTAGCATGTTTATTAAGCCACCGTGGCTAAGATTCACAACTAGCCCCTCCATGGGGCGTCTGGCTCTCCATGCCCATCACTGAACTGCTGCACTGCAGAGCTGGCCCAAGGCTCGGTATTTTAAAGCATGAGTTCTCACACCTGGTCATGTTTTTTTTTTTTTTGTACCAAACAGGTTTTCCTGCATCCTGAAAGACAGTGTTACAGCAACCTTGCCAAGAGTGAATATGACAGGAGCGATTTCAGGGTATTCTTTCAAGCAATGCCCACACCAGATAAGTGGTAAGACGTCTTCCTCGAATGAACGAACACTGGTTATTGTGATATATACATATAATTGCATTTGATATAGTTTTAAGACTATAAAACAAAAACATTCTATGTGGAAATAAACTCCCCTGTTGAAATTCTTTCGGTGTGGAGTCGACCCTCGCACACACCTACGTGCGTTCACACTGTACAGTCACCCTGAATTCTCACTTTCTGTCTCTCCAGTGAGCACATGCACTCCATACCAAAAACCTCCCTCTTAAAAAAGAAAAAAAAAAAAAAAGAACACAAGTGTCACTTTAATGTTTATATTTGCTCCCTTCTGTTTGAATGAATATGCTTAATAAATTTTTGCATGTGTAATTTTTTTTGAGAGGTTTTTGCTATAGGGCATGTGCTCGCCAGACAGACAGAGACACACAGAGAGATAGAAAGCAAGAAATCACCCCCCCAGGGGGGATGGCCACACCGCAATCCCTTCTCCTCCATTCTCCTCTCGGGATCTTGGGCACGCACGCACATGCACCCGGCGTGAGTTTAAGCCACCGGGTCCAGGACTTGAACCACGGTCAACTACATGGGAGTCCAGCGACATAGCCATTATGCTAACTGCTGGTCTCTGATAATAGGAATTTTCAGAGCAAAATAAAGACAAAGGACTTCTGAGGAAAAGCGAATGAAAACTTTGAATGGAAAAGGGAAGAGTGAGCACAGCTGCTCTGAGAAACAGCACAGCTGCCCCTGAGATCTGGTGGTTATACACATTTTAAATTTTATTTCTAGCCTGCAACCAAGATGTGTATGTGGACCTGGACATGAAAGGCATGAACTACAATGGCTCTGTGGCCAGGGATGCTCGGGAGTGCCAAGAGAGATGTACAAATGACATCCACTGTCACTTTTTCACATTCGCGACAAGGCAGTTTTTCAGTGCGGAGCATCGGTGAGTGAACTGTTAACTTGAGCCCAAGGACAATAGAGAATCCAATGAAAAACAATAAGCTCCATTAAAAATGGTGGCATGGTGGTTTGGGTACTGGACTTCCACATGGCGGACAACAGTTCAAATCTCAGACTCAGTGACTTGAAACTCATGCCGGGCTTCATGCCGGGCACGTGTGCATTAGTGCCCAAAATGAAGGAGAAAGGATTTTAGCATGACCATCCCTCCTGGGAGTGACTTCTCACTTTCTCTCTGTCTGTCTCTCTGGCAAGCACATGCACCCTATAGCAAAAATCTCTCAAAACAAAAAATTTCTCATCCTGATGTCAAAATGTATTGTTAACCCCTAAAAAATATTTCTATAATAGTACTCAGTTTTCTTCAATGAAAAGTGCATTGAAAGTTCAATTTGGATGCATTTCACTTATGGGAAGGAGTCTGCCTCTTAACAACACTTTTAAGAAATACATATGCTTAATCCATATGCTAACTAATTTCAAAAGGGCTACATTTTTTTAATTGGCAATTTTGAAATACCTTCAATTGATCAAATTGGTTATGCCCTTCCTAAACTAAAAGATACTATATAGAGTTCCATATAATCAAAAAAATAAAAATCAAGTCCTCTTTCCCCTAAGTAATTGTTCTTTACCTAAGACAGAGCAACTGAAGCGGGGGCCAGCAGGTGGCAAGGAGTTTAAGGTGCTGGATCCCACATGGCCGACTGCGCAGTCAACGGTGTGTGCCCAAAACCTGGAGAAGAGACCAGATGAAAGGGATTACGGCATGGCCGTTCCCCGGGGCTGGGGAGAGTCCTCACTTTCTCTATCTCTCTCTGGCTAATGCACATGTCCTACAGCAAAAAACAACAAGTAAAAGAATAACTGATGATCGTGTGAAAAGTTTTATCCTGGCCCACACTGGATATTGAAATATTCCAGGAATAAGCCTTTTGTGTAAGAATATAAACATGATCTGGTCTCTAAGTACTATTAATAAGTCTGTGTTCTCGTTTTTTAAAATTAGGAAAATACATGGCTAACTTTGATACTTAGAAATATTTGTATGCATGTGGACCTGGACATGAAGATTTATCTAGCAAACTTCATTTATCTAGATTCCAACACAGAGAGGGAAATAAGTTCCCATGACTACTGTTTGGATTTTGCGCTGGATCTTAAACATCTGCTCTCCACATTTACAGAAAGGAGATGGGTGGAAGCAAACCAAGCATTAAATATTTATTTTTAAAATGACAGTGATAAAAAAATTCCAAGTTAATAATTAGTCTCCCGCCGCTTGTCTCTAGCTTAGATCAGACTTTTTTTTTTATGTCTAAGACTCAACACAACATGAAATACAGACCAGAAAGTGCAGTGATGCAAGGCTTTATTTAAAAAGTTAAAATCAACATGAAATACAGGCCAGAAAGTGGAGTGTTGCAAAGCATTATTTAAAAAGTTAAAATGCTGTGGGACCAGCAGGTGGCATGATGGTTAAGGTGCTGGACACTCCCACACGGCCAAGCACGGTTCGAGTTCTGCATCTGGCAGCTTCCTTTCTCTCTCTCTCTCTCGTCAAATTAAAATAAATGAATGAATAAATAATATTAAATAAATAATAATTTTAATGTTGTCATTGAGAAGGGTTTGAGAAGTCATCCACTCACCCATTCCCACTCTTTATGCCATCATCCTGCTCCAGCTGTCACTTTACTGGTGGAGAAATGAGATTAAAATTCCCAGGATCACCAGGTGCCCCGTGGCTGTGCTAAAATGCAAGTCCCGCCATTCAGCCTCAAGTGAATGCTTTCAAGCTAATTCCTGCCTTCTAAAGACCATTTCATCTCTTCAAGTGGGATTTTCTTATTATTATCTTGTGTTTAATTTTTTTCTACTTTCAGTTGGAAGAATAAAACATCTTTTCCTTTTTCTTTTCATGCAGTAACATTTGTCTTTTGAAGTACAGCCACACAGGGATGCCAACAAGAATAACGAAGCTCCGTAACGTGGTGTCTGGATTTTCACTGAAATCTTGTGCACTTTCTAACCTGGGTAAGTATTGTTTTCTTAATGGGGAAGCTTAACCATTACATAGGAGCAGTGCTGATGCTATGTATTAGGTTGTCAGGAAAGTCATGACGTATTTTTCTAAAATGTGTCATGACTGTCCCAATAACCCAACCTCTTTCTCTCTATCTGTCTTTTTTTTGTGTCATGACTGTCCCAATAACCCAACCTCTCTCTCTCTCTGTCTTTTTTCCCCCCTTAGGGTGCATGCACTCACTTGGGAAAGAGAGAGAGACATGGTGAGTGGGAAAGTGAGAAACCACTCCCCCTCTTCCCAAATGGGATGGCCATGCCGCAATCCCTTCTCCTCCATTCTCTTCCCAGGAGCTTGGGCACACATATGCATATACGCATGCAGTGTGATTTTCAAGCCACTGGGTCTGGGACTCGAACTGCAGTCAGCCATGTGGGAGTCCAGCGATGTAACTGCTACACCCTCTGCTGATCCCACAAAAGATCTAATTTAAGATACCAATTTATGCTCATTGATGACGTGAACCCAGTGCCCTTTTACCTTCTTCATGTGACAGATTTCAGTATGCCCTATATACTTAGAACTTACATTTCAATTTCAAGTTGAAAAGAATTAGTTTATTTTTATTCTAAATTTTAAAAAAAGTTAAAAGTGCTTAGAAAATTGTCCATAGAGAATTCACAAAACCAGCGACAGGAACGGTGACGATTCTGCCGCGAATCGCTTTCCTCCCTGATTTCTTCTGCCGCACAGCTTGCATCAGGGACGTGTTCTCCGACACAGTGTTCGCAGACAACACCATCGACAGTGTCGTGGCTCCTGACGCTTTCGTCTGCCGCCGCCTCTGTACTCATCACCCCAACTGTTTGTTCTTCACCTTCCTTCCCCAAGAATGGTCAAAAGAATCTCAACGGTAAGTGCTCCACCCCCACCTCCCCAGGTGCCCTCCGGAAAAATTAAAAAAAAAAAAAATAAGTTTGGGATATTTATGGGACCAATAAAATTTGCTGAAGGGCTGGGTGTGGTTTGTGAAAGAGCCAGTGATAGCACCAAGATTTGGGGCAGGAGGAATTGGAGGAGGGGCATGCCAATGATAGGGCTGCGGCACATTCCATGAGGAGCGGAGTACCGGCACGTGCCTATTAGACATCTAGGGGAAAATGCTGAACCAAAAAAAAAGTCTGATTCAGAAGAGGGGGTGAGGACCACATCGGCTGGTGTTAAAGCCGAGACAGGTGAAGCCACCAAAGAACTGAATGCAGACAGGATGAAAAGGTAGGCAAAGATGGAGCCTGGGGGCATTAGACAGTTTAGGAACTAGAAAGATGCTTGTGTAAGTTGTTGTATTAGTCACTATTGGCATTTTTTTCCTTCTTTTGTTGGTTTTGTTTTGTTTTGTTTTATCTTATTCCCTATTACAAAATTACCAATCAATACCTACATTGATCTTTAATGCAGTGTGATAGGAACAATGCTACCATAAACCAAGACTTGGCTACTTAAGTTTAAATTGATTAAAATGAAATAAAATTAAAAGTTGACTTTCTCAGGGCCAGCAGGTGGCATGGTGGCTGAAATGCTGGACTCCCACATGGCTGACTGAGGTTCAAATCCACGACCTGATGGCTTACTTTCTCACTTTCCCTCTCTCTCTCTGGTCAAATTAAAAAATAATAATAAATAAAATTAGATACAGTTTTTTAAAACAAAAAAATCATTTTCTCTGCTGTTAGCTACATTTCAATCCCTCAGTGGCCACATGCAGATTGGCTGTGACATCTGATGGCACCGACCAACTTGACGGCATTTCCACCATTGCAGAAGTTCTGGTGGGCAGCCCTGCTCTAGACCGGAACTTTCTGCTACTTAGGAAGTCACTCCCTTCCAGGAAGATGAAGCTTCTGGGATAGAGTAAGCAATGGATTTTGCTTATCGCTTTACAAGCCTGTAGCAACTGAGTTGGAGATTTCTGGGTACTATTAAAATTACTCAGTGTTGGGGCCAGCAGATGGCGTAATAGTTACGTCATTGGACTTCCACATGGCTGACCACGGTTTGAGTCCTGGACCCAGCAACCTGAAACTCACACCAGATGCGTGTGCATACATGTCCAAAATCCCAAGAAGAGAGCAAAGGAGAAGGGATTATAGCATGGCCATTCCCCCAGGGGGGGGTCTCTCTGTCTCTCCAGTGAGTGCACATGCCCTATAGAAAAAAAACTCTCAAAAAAAAAAATTTAAACAAAGTTCCTTAGTCTTTGAGAGAAGCTAGGAGTGTTGAGAGGAAGGAAATAGAGAAGGAAGTTACTAGGAACATTGACAATAGAGGCAGCTTAAAAAAGTTTAACGGAGCCAGGGGTGTTCAGTTTGAAGATCTGTGTACAACCTGTGGACTGTGGAGTGCGGTGGAGTAAACAGGAAACATTTTGCTATTAAGTGCCAACATGAGCTCACCTTACATATGAGTGTATGTGTGGGGAGTTTCCGTGGGCCAGCAGGTGGTGTAGTGGTTAAAGTGGCTGGATTCTCACATGGTCCACCATGGTTTAAGTCCTAGACCCAGTGGCTTGAAAATCACACAAGAGTAGGGACCAGCAGATGGTGTAATGGTTATGTTGCTGGCCTCCCACGTAGTCGACCACTGTTTGAGTCCCGGACCCAGCATTTTAAAGCTCATGCCAGGTGCGTGTGTGTGTGCATGCCCAAAGTTGCAAGAGGAAAATGGAGGAGAAAGGATTGCAGCATGGCCATCCACCCCTGTCCCCACTCCCCTGGGGGTGATTTCTTGCTTTCCGTCTCTCTGGCGAGCACATTCACATTATAGCAAAAATCTCTCTTTAAAAAAAAAAAAGGAAAAGGAAATCACACAGAGTGTGTGTGCACGCACGCCTAAAATCAAGAAAGGAGAAGGAACTGTGGCATAGCCATGCCCCTTGGGGGGTGATTTCTCTTTCTTTCCCTTTGTTTATCTCTCTCTCTGGCAAGCGCATATGCCCTATGGCAAAAACCTATTTGATCTGCTTTGTCCGTTAGAAATCTTTGTCTTCTTAAGACATCTCAGAGTGGATTGCCAAGCACCCGCATTCAGAAGAACAAAGCTCTTTCCGGTTTCAGCCTGCAGAACTGCAGGCACAGCGTTCCAGGTAAAGAACGAGAGCGCCTCCTTCCGACTAAGACCAGCACGTGCTGAGAAGTGCGCTGGGTGTAGCTGGTCCTGTGTCTCATATCCGCTCTGCGGTCTGTTGTCTAGTGTTCTGTCACTCTTCATTTTACCGTGACACCGACTTCTTGGGAGAAGAACTGGACATCGTGGATGTGCAAGGCCATGAAGCCTGCCAGCAAAAGTGCACAGATGCCGTCCGCTGTCAGTTTTTCACCTTCTACCCGTGTGGAGAACACTGCAGCGAAAGGAAGTACGACGCACGAAGGGCTGGGGGAGGTCGCTGTCTCGCTTCTCCGACGTCCGTGCTGTTTGCATGTTGTTTCCTACTGCAGGGGCAAATGTCACCTAAAACTTTCTTCAAATGGGTCTCCAACCAAAATACTTCATGGGAGAGGAGGCATCTCTGGATACACATTAAGGTTATGTAAGATGGATAATGGTAAGTATAAAAGCACTTCTAAAGCCATATCAGAATGACCCGTTTTATACTGTTTTATAACTGAGAGTCGAAAATAGCGACAGAAGGGAGACAATTGATAAAAAAAAAAAAAGCACATTTTGCAATTTTCTTTCTTTTTCTTCCGAGGTTTTTGCTATAGAGCACATGTACTTGCCAGAAAGACAGAAAGAGACAGAGAGATAGAAAGCGAGAAATCACCCCCCATGGGGATGGCCATGCCACAATCCCTTCTCCTCCATTCTTCTCTCGGGATCTTGGACATGCACGCACATGCGCCCAGCGTGAGTTTAAGCCACCAGGTCTGGGACTCAAACCGTGGTCAACTACGTGAGAGTCCAGCGACATAGCCTTTATGCTAACTGCTAGTCCTCACATTTTGCAATTTTCTGTTATCTTTACTCCTGTCATCCAAGCTGACCATGTTTTAATACTGAGTCTTGACTACATGCTACATTGCCTAATATTCACTGAATATATGTTTCAGGGTATTTATACTCGTGCAACTAGAATTTCATTGTGGAACACAAATTCAGTCAACACCCTTTTATCTGTCTTTTGTTATCAGGGTCAAAGTTTTTTTTTATAATTATTTTATTTATTCATTCTTTTTTTTTTTTTTTTTTTTTTTTTTTTTTTTTTTTTTTTTTTTTTTTTTTTTTTTTTTTTTTGGGTGTTTTCTCTCCACAACAACAAAATGAGAAAGCAGGCCACCAGATTCAGGACTCGAACTCTGGTCAGCCATGTGGGAGTGTCCAGCACCTTAACCACCACGCCACCTGCTGGTCCCGGGTCAAAGATTTTCTTATTATGTTTGAAAATCAAAATGTCAAACTGTTCCTTAGTTAATCAGACAGTTAATTTTCTTCCCACTTGACGTTTAAGTGAAATATAAATAACCAGCATATGTTCTAAAAACTACATACCTGTTCAAGAAATACTGAAGTCGTTGCTTTTCTGGGGTGATCATTCTTTCAAATTCCTGCAAGGGTTCTGCCATTTTTTTTTTTTAAGAGGTTTTTGGTATAGGGCACGTGCGCTCGCTAGACAGACAGAGAGAGAAACAGAAAGCAAGAAATCACCCCCCTGGGGGGGATGGCCATGCCTCAATCCTTTCTCCTCCATTCTCCTCTTGGGATCTTGGGCATGCATGCACACATGCCTGGCGTGAGTTTTAAGCCACCGGGTCCAGGACCCGAACCATGGTCAACTATGTGCGAGTCCAGTGACATAGCCATTACGCTACCTGCTGGTCCCTGACAATTGATGAATACTGGCAAAAGTTACCCAAAAAATCTTTTAAATTTGTAGCAATGAGTATGATGGGATAGAAATAAAAAGATTGCCTAAGGTAGCAAAAATTATAATAGAAAATCACATTAGCCATGTCTTGATTCCAGGAGTGTTTCTGAGCATGGTAACAAGGGGTGGTTTGTAGGCAAATATAATAGATTGTGCACAGGAAGAGAATCCTAACAGGAAGGAACATCCCATGGACATGCTTCTCTAAATTACTATAATTACCTAGTATGGCTTTATACTTTAATTTATATAAAGCTACATGTTTTTAGACATTGCTTAATGTTCCATATTATAATGTACTATAAACTAAGATGCAGCTGAGATTTAATGAATAAAATGGAAGCTATAATCATGCTTCACAACAGAAGTTATAATCATGCTCTGCAATCATTTTAGAAGTGTAGAAATCTTTTTCGTGTCAGATTATTTGCCTTTCACAGAATGTGCACCAGTCCTTATCCTCCTGAGGGCACACAGATGCTGTATGGTGTCCAGGACTAATACCCCCAACCCACAAGCTATGCCTTCCTAGAGCGTAGAGGGGCTCGGATGAAACTCCGTGAATGGCTCAAGACCCTTTAAAAGGGCAATTGACTTTTATCTCTTTTCCTTATAATAAATTTGCCTAAAACCAGAAGTATTCAAAATAATTCTGTTGTGGGGCCAGCAGTTAGCACAATGGCTATGTTGCTGGACTCCCATGTAGTCAACCGTGGTTCGAGTCCCAGACCCGGTGGCTTAAATTCACACCGGGCGCATGTGCATGAGTACCCAAGATCCCGAGAGGAGAATGGAGGAGAAGGGATTACGGCGTGGCCATCCCCCCGGGGGATGATTTCTTGCTTTCTGTCTCTGTCTCTCTCTCTCTGTCTGGGGAGCGCAAGCGCCCTATAGCAAAAACCTCTCAAAAAAAAAATGTGGTTGTCTTCGTTCTACTTTAAGCATTAAGCACAATAGAGAGACACTTAGCAAATGTTGCTAAGTGATGTGGACATACCAGCCTTATACCGTGATGAACGGCAGATCCCATTTTCCACTATCTTCCTTTATCACGATCTTCTCTGCTGAATTGATATAATCTGGCCTGTAGAAGTTAGAGAATGCATCAGGTGTAGATTGATAGCTTCACAGGAAAATGTAAGACAGAGACTGAAATCTTATGTCTTTTTGGCACACCTTTTGAATGAAATGGATTAGATAGCTAGGTTTAACTGCGCTGTATTAGAGGAATCAGTACTCTCATTTAAGAGAGAATATCTAGCTGAGATGTTTATCGTGTCCTACACTGTCATTAGTCTACAATATAAATTAAGGTTCTAAAGATACATAACAATGTCAATAAAACAAATAGTTCTTAAACAAAATGTAATGCTTAGCAAATAGATTGTGATTAGTATTTTATTTAAACTGAGAAACAAAATGAAAAAAGAATACATAGACCTGTGACCCAAATGTAGTAGGTCTTTCTTGAATTGTTTTTTGTAGCTACTGCTTAGCTATTAATTTTCCTAAGCTCTGCCTTTCATACCATTTGCAAACTATACAGGCTTCCTGGAAATCTCAGAATATGGTTACAATCTTGAAAAAGTCCCTCCCAAATTCACCTTCACCCGTCCATACTGAAATGAAATCTCTCTGTTCAGGCTTCTACAAATACCTCATGCTCATTTTTTTAAACAATTATTTATTCAATTTTATTTATTATTATCATTATTAATTTTTAAATTTGCTATAGGGCACATGTGCTCTCCAAAGAGAGAGAGACAGAAAGAAAGATAGAGAAAGTGAGAAAGCAAGCCTCCAGATCTGAGACTTGAACCACTGTAGGTCATATGGCAGTCCAGTGATTTAACCACCACTCCACCTGCTGGACCCTCTCATGCTCATTCTTACTTCAGCTTTTTCTTAGCTATTGTTTCCTTCAAACTCCTTTTCCAGTTTCCTCCTTCTTATTTCAAGCCTGTCCCATAAATTATGCATTCATTTCCTATTGCAGTAAGAAGGACCTAGAAATGTTTTTTACATCTACAAAACTAATGAATAGACTGTGCAGGTCTTGAATTCAGAATTTGACTAGTGACTTTTCTGCTATTTATGTTCCTCTTTTAGTTAAAGATATTATACTTTTTTGTTTGTTTTGTTTTGAGAGAGAGAGAGAGAGAGAAAGAGAGAGAGAGGAGTGAGAAAGCACCCACTATGGGGGATGGTCATACCACACTCCCTTTTCCATTTCTCTTTTTGGGATTTGGGGCATGCATGTACATACAAGCAGTGTGTTTTTCAAGTCAATGGGTCTGGGACTCGAACCACATGGTCAACTATGTGAGATCCAGCAGCTTTAACCACCTTACCACCGGCTGGTTTAGATGTGATACTTCTTGATCCTCTGAGCCTTGCTATCCGGAGTGTGGTCTGGGCACAGCATATTGACAACACCTAAGAGCTTCTTAGAAATAATGTCAGCCCCTCTCTGAACCCCACACAGACATAGGAACCTGCATTTTAAACAATACCCAGATGTCTTAGTCTGTTATTGCATTGCTAATCAGAATTTCCTGAGACTGGATAATTTATACTTAAGTTAAAGTTCTTAGAATGTTCCAAGGATGACTCAAGAGAATCCCAAATTGTTAACAAGGCCAAAGGGCAGCAGAAGTTTTCAAACAGAAGATTAGTCCTGGTTTCAATGTGGACAGAGCAGAGGTGACTGGGAGTCAAAGTCAACCTAAGTGGAAGGGACGGGACAGGAACTGGACAAAAGCTGCAAACTGAGTGAAAGGTGCTCAGCTTTTCTTTATAACACTATTCTCAAACTTTAGCAAGCTAGTTAAAACAGAATGCTGGACTACACTGCCACAGATTCTGATTCCCTGGATCTGAGATTGGACTCAAGAATTTGTGCTTCTGACAAGATCCGGTAGCTAGACAAGGGGCCCTATTTCCCAGTCCAGAAACCCCAAGCAGGTTCAACCCTTTGCCATTCAATAAAACACGGAGGCAAAGTTGTGGGTGAAGAGAAAAGGAGAATTTATTGCAGTGTGGCCATACCAAGAAGACATTACAAATATCTTCAACTGGTCAGCCAAGTTACAGACACTTTTATAGGGGGAGGGGTTCATGGCCATGTGCAGAAAAGCAGAGGTCAGGTTAATTTTTATCTGGGGTGAAGGTTCGATCTAGCATTTCATCCTCAAGTCAGGAGTTTCAGTTTCCTGGAGTGGAATGTCCTTATTGTTTCAAGCTTCAAGTTGACTGTCTCCTTGGAGTTCCAATGAGAGATCTCAAAGAGTATGAAGCTCAGAAAAACTATTTTGGTTAACAAGATTGAGTCAATCTGGGTAAAGCGGATTCCTATAATAATCCCAGGTGATGCTGTAGGTCTAGGAATCTGATTTGGCAATAATTGCTTTATTGATTAATTGATGGATTTTTCTAAGAGGGATTTTTGCTATAGGGCGCGTGTGCTCACCAGAGAGACAGAGAGAGAGAAAGCGAGAAATCACCCCCAGGGGGTATGGCTATGCTGCAATCCTTTCTCCTCCATTCTCCTCTTAGGATCTTGGGTGGGCACAGATGCCCATGCACCCGGTGTGCACTTTAAGCCACCCTGTCCGGACCTTGAACCATAGTTGACTAGCAGCTTCTTTTTGGCATTTAATTAGAAGATGACTTAGTCATTTAATTTTTTATGTGCATGTTTTGCTTTACTGACTTGATTATACAGTCTTCAACTTAGGTTTATGGTAAAAGGATTGAAGGAGAATTGTTTGTTTTTTTTGTTTGTATTTTTTGGAGAGGTTTTTGCTATAGGGTGCGTGTGCTCGCCAGACAAACAGAGAGAGATGAGACAAAAAGTGTGAAATCACCCCCTGGGGGGATGGCCATGCCACAATCCCTTCTCTTCCGTTCTCCTCTTGAGATCTTGGGCACACATGCACATGCGCCTGGCGTGAGTTTTAAGCCACTGGGTCCATGACGTGCACCACGGTTGACTACATGGGACTCCAGCGACATAGCCATTATGCAAACTGCTGGTCCTGAAGGAGAGTTTTTCTACCTTTTGTTCCTGAAGGAGCAACTACTGGTAGAAAGCAAATATGGAGGAAACTACTCACTGCCATCTTTCTATTGTAGCATGTACAACCAAAATCAAGCCCAGAATTGTTGGAGGAAATGCATCTGTTCCTGGAGAGTGGCCATGGCAGATAACTTTGCATGCCAAGTCATCCACCTGGGGACACCTGTGTGGAGGCTCCATCATTGGAAACCAGTGGATAGTAACAGCTGCTCATTGTTTCTATGGGTCAGTACCATGGCAGCTTCTATTAGGACCGTCCTTGCACATACATGAACTCTATTAGTGGCATAGAAGTAAATAATTATGTTAAAATTGTAAATGATATCATGTGCCAAATAATTGCCCATTTTTATTGAGAACAAAAGCAAAAAGAAAGAGCCACTCTTGGGCTACCAGCATCCGAATAGGTGCAAGAACATGGCTGTTTGCTTAGGGACTATTCCGCCCTCCTATTTAGATGCATACACTTCCCCGGGGGCTTTCTTATTGTTCCCCATAGAAGCACATGACCTTCCATGCACTGCTCTGTGCACAGAGCCCAGAACTAGATTAAAAGAGAATTTTCGGTTCTCTGAATCTAATTTCCTATTCCCTACCATCCTCTTCTCTCCATTGGATTTCCAAGTACAGAAAAAGTTCACTCTGCATCCTTAAATTGGATTCCCTACTTTGGTCAGTTTCAATATTGGCTGGATATAAAAACTCCATCTGGAGATGATATGTATCCTAGAGCATTTTAGCTGGTAAACTTTGCCTTTGTTACTTTAGGATCGTCCTAGGTGTTTCTAGATCGTTTTACGTGTTTGTGTTTGGTTTGGGTTTTGTAGTCTATCAGCATGCAGCATATTCCCGTTATCAAACAAAGACACCTTTGAAGTCCACGGTCCACCTTTATTTCCATATAGGTAGATGGAGTACAGAGAAGTCTAAGAGAATTCCTCAGGGTCATGGCTAGTGTGTGGCAGAGCTGAGACTAAAGCTCAGGCATCTTTAGTGTGTGGCCACCTCTACAGGGAGGTGCGTGACTGAGCATCTTAGCACGGAATCACTGTTTTCCTTCTAAAATTAGTCTACCACTGGGAGAAAATATTAGCAAGAATCATCTAAAACAGCTCAAAAAATGTTGCAAATGATGTAGTGAAAGATTTTGGTCTCCCTCTATTGTTTGCTCGTTAGGGTGAAGTCACCTAAAATTTTGCGTGTCTATGGTGGCATTTTAAATCAATCTGAAATAAAAGAGGATACACCTTTCTTTGAGGTTCAAGAAATAATCATTCATGATCGATATGAATCGGCAGAAAGTGGGTTTGATATTGCCTTGCTGAAACTCAAAACACCAATGAATTATACAGGTATGTAGAATTTTCATTGGAAAGGTGTCTACAGTGGTGGCCTAGACAAAATGCCTGACAGTACCAGATTCGTGTCTGACCCCACCAATCTTCCCACGTGTTAGCAGGAAAGAGAGTGGGTCTGGAGAGTTAGTTTTTCGGTCTGTTAAGACTGACCCTCTTGCCTGGTTATTGAATCTTACTTTGGAGATATGGGTGAAGAGGTAAGTTTTCTTTAGACTTCTTCAGATACATAGACTGACAATTTTATCATATAATATTGGAATATTACAGATATTCAGTTGCATATCTCCTTTTTTAGGAGCAAGAGGATTGAAGGTCACAGTGCAGCTTCTACCGGATCACAAACCTAGTTAGGACAGTAGAAAATGGTGTGGCTTGTCTCGCATCCCCTCATTCTGGGATGTATGAGGTACAAGGTGGAACAGAAAAGATAGAAATACATGACAAGATAAAAAAAAAATACAACCCATAGAGAAAACACAAATCATTGAAAGGAAACGAAGAGAGTCTTTTCTGGAAAAAGAACGTATTTTACTTCTGATAACTAACCTGGCATTTTTTAAATGCAGATTCTCAACGACCCATATGCCTACCCTCCAAAGGAGATAAAAATGTCATATACAGTGACTGCTGGGTGACTGGATGGGGGTACAGAAAATTAAAAGGTAAAAAAAAAAAAAAAGATGTTTTCAAGGGCACTACCCTAAAAGTAAAGGTCAGACGTCAGTCGTGACCTTTCCTGCTCTGTCAAGTCTCAGAGTTACAACGCGAGTAAAAGAACGTGACTAGGTTACAGTAAAGGTATTTATAGAGCAGAAAGGCAGAAATCTCCAACGTGAGGGCGATATCGCATCTATTTGATCGGAAATGTTAAATGTGACTAAATCTCTCTACAGATTAATTATTTTTAATGAAATGTAATGTGAAACTTAGCACTTTCTGGTAAATGTCCTAGCCGGTTATCCAATGATTTGCTCTGGAAAGTAATTCCAGTTAGAGTCATAATTCATTTTGAACTTAATGAACATGGACAGAACGTTACGAATAATAGTGGGATGAATGTCTTCTTTATACCTGTAATTATAAAAGGTCTATGACGTAAACTTAATCATTTTTCTTTCTATATTTGTATGTAGATATCATTTTGATAATAAGTAGAGTTCTAGGTTGCTATATATGTTATACATACATAGATCATATATTAAATAGATATAAATATATGGCATGAGGGGGGTTTTCCAAATGTTTATGAAAAATGCACATTATGAAAAAGTAAGGCATAGGTTTCAATTTGGGGGGTCACCAAAACAAATTCATACTTTAATTCCATTTTCCTATGAACTTTCCACAAGTCTCCACTTATATGCTCTTTTTCTTTTTTGAGACAGAGGTTTTTGCTATAGAGTGCATGCGTTCACCAGAAAGAAAGAGGCAGAAAGACAGAAAGTGAGAAATCACCCTCCAGAGAGGATGGCCATGCCACAATCCCTTCTCTTTCATTCTCCTCTCGAGATCTTGGGCACGCAACACAATGTGCCCTGTGTGAGTTTAAGCCACTGGATTGGGGACTTGAACTATAGTCGACTACATGAGAATCCAGTGACATAGCCATTATATCAACTGCTGGTCCCAGCCCTACTTATTTGATTATTCCACTAACAGCCTTTCTCCCCAATTTTTTTCAGACACAATACAAGATACTCTTCAGAAAGTCAAGATACCTTTGGTGTCCAGTGAAGAATGCCAGGCCAGATACAGAAGTCATAAAATTACCAGTAAGATGCTCTGTGCAGGCTACCAGGAAGGAGGGCGGGACGCCTGTAAGGTAAGAGTGTCCTCAGCGAGTTGAATGCATGCAGATCAGAATGCATAACGCCAGTGCGCAGAGAACCTGGCACATTAGTTTTATTTACGGTGAAATCTACAATGGATAGACAGCCTGAGTGTGAGCAATCGGTTATCAGAGGGCCAACACCGAGGTTTGGGCAAAGTCCTTCTGAACAAAGTGTACTGAAGACGGGAAGCATCGGACTGATTTGTGCACCTTTTCTTTCCTCCTCTTTTCACAGGGAGACTCAGGGGGCCCCCTGTCCTGTAAACACAACGAGGTCTGGCATTTGGTGGGCATCACAAGTTGGGGCGAAGGCTGTGCTCAAAGGGAGAGACCAGGCGTGTACACCAATGTGGTCGAGTACGTGGACTGGATTTTAGAGAAGACTCAATCAGAGAGGAAGCGCCCACCTGCCGTCTGACCCCTGAAGGGCACACTGGACTGTTTCTGGGAAGACGGTTTTGATTTCGCTGAAGGTGACCCTGCGCCTTCCACTTCCTTCCCAGCAATACGTGGCAGGGGCGTGGCTTTTGTAAGCAAAACACCCAAAGAAAACCAATTGTCATTGCAAGACCCCCATTCTGTGAGAACCCTAGTTTATTTTCAGCCTCTAGTCTCTTGCTTTTGGTTCACACGTTTGCTGAGCCAAAGACACAATAAGATGGTATTTTCAAAGATTAATATATAGGCAGATACACCAGGAAAAAATCAAGTAGTGGCACCAAAGGATCAGGTAGAACTGACAAAAGGAGTCAAAACGATTTGTCCAAAGAACAATGGAAACTGGAGAAAATGAGAATAAGGACACTCATCATCAATTTGCAAAAATCTATACACTGCCTATGCAAAAGCATTCCTTTTGTAAAGCAAGAATTTGTTTCAGTCCAATGGCAGATTTTTAGAATACGCAGAAATTCTTGTCACTTCAGTTTTATATGTCTGTGTGTGTATGTGTGTATAAAAATTTCATATCAATTTGGATAGGCATGGCCTGAGAATGAGTATGAATGTGAACTCCAGAATTTCTATACGGGTGAGGATAACAGAAGCAATTTACTTGGAAGTAAATTGCCTGTGCCTGTGGTTATGGGAGCGGGAGGCTGATGGGGATGAGGGGAGCAAGCTGCCATCTCCCTGCACCAAGCTATTGCTCTATGGACTTACAAAGAATTGCGTAATAGAGCCAGCAGGTGGCATGGTGGTTAAGGGTGCTAGACTCTGGCATGGCAGACCACCGTTTGAGTCCTGGACCTCGTGGCTTGTTTTCCTACTTTGCCTCTCTCTCATGCTCTTGCTGTGTCCCTCAATGGTCAAATTAAAATAAGCAAATAAATAAAGTTAAATAAAATAATTCTAAAAAAATTTAAAACTACATAATAAATATATTGGACAACATTTATGAAAAGTACATCCATACTACATGAAAAAAACATTGGGAACAAATGGAAAGATACTGAAGAGTCTTTTAACTTTTTTAAAACAACTTCCTGAATTCATAGCACTTGGGATTTTTCTTTAGTGAAAAATATTTACCTGGCTATTTTTTTTTTTTTTTGGAGAGGTTTTTTGCTAGAGGGTGCGTGCGCTCGCCAGAAAGACAGAGAGAGGGACAGAGAGATAGAAAGTGAGAAATCACCCCCCAGGGGGGATGGCCATGCCGCAATCCCTTCTCCTCCATTCTCCTCTCGGGATCTTGGGCACGCACGCACACGTGCCCGGCGTGAGTTTAAGCCACCCGGTCCGGGACGAACCGCAGTCGACTACACGGGAATCCAGTGACATAGCCATTACGCCAACTGCTGGTCCCTACCTGGCTATTATTTTGAAATAGTGCCGTAACCTAGAATTTGAACTGTCCCTACATAGTTACCAGTCTCTTTTACTAAATATACAATTCATCCAATAGAAAAAATAGTTATTGAGCACAGTTAGGTGATACCGTAGCACTGAGCTTTGGGAATGTGGAGGCAGAAAATTGCTATGGCCCTAGTTTCATGAAGCTGACCGTCTACTTAGCATGAGCAACAGAATAAAATAATCACACAAAATACGTATCTCGAACAGAAATGAGTGAGATGTACAGAGTTCTATGAGATGAAAAAGGAAGAAAAGGGGACCAGCAGTTAGAATAATGGCTATGTCGCTGGACTCCCACGTAGTCGACCGCAGTTCACATCCTGGACCCAGTGGCTTAAACTCACGCCGCACGCGTATGCGTGCGTGCCCAAGATCCCGAGAGGAGAATGGAGGAGAAGGGATTGCGGCATGGCCATCCCCCCTGGGGGGTGGTTTCTCACTTTCTGTCTCTCTGTCTTTCTCTCTCTGTCTGGCAAGCGCACGCGCCCTATAGCAAAAACTTCTCAAAAAGAAAAAAAAAAAAAAGGAAGAAAAGCATTTTGGACAGGCTTAAAGAACTGAATAAAAAGGAGTTTTTCCTGAGGAAGACGAAAGGAAAAACAAAACAAAACAAAACAAAATCAAAATGACCAGAATAACGTAAGGAAGCCAGACCCAAAATACCTATAGATTCAAGTCAAACTAGAATTGAAAATTGGAGCGCCTTCAAGATTACTAAACAATATCATTATCTTATTCTTCTTTGTGACCTTTATATTCTTGAAGTACCACTTCACATCAAAAAAAGGTTAGAATATGATTTCTGATACGATGGTATCTTTCAGTAAAGTCTTTTCTAAAAAGCATTTTAAAAACTTATTTTTAGTTTTTTAATAATTAACTTTGCAGAATGTTTTCATTTTTGAATAGCTAGTATATGCCCATGATTTATAGATAAAAACACTAGAAGATATAAAATATACAATGGAAAGATCCCCTGTCCCACACCCAGAGGCTGCACATTCTACACACTGTTGAACACATTCTTCTTATCGCTCAGCGTTTCATTTCGGAGACATTTCTGATTGGTACAAGGAGGGCGTCCTCACCCTGTTACAGAAGCCTGGTGTTTCATGGCAGGAATTCCACATCTTATTTACCCACTCCCCTGTTGCAGCACATGTTGGTGTTTTAGCCTTTCACTCTTTCATAAATTTGTAGGACATATTCCAGAAATAGAATTCAAAAAAAAAAAGCAAGCAAACAAACAGATAAATGCACTTGTGACTTTGATGAATATTGCCAAATGCCCCTCCATAGCAACTTTCTCTCCCATTAGCGATGTAAGAGAGGGCCACACTTTGGGTGACATCATGACATCAAACTTAGGAATTTTCGACAATCTGATAGGCAGAGAATTTTATTTAAATGTTATTTGGTAGTCATCACATAGACAAAATTAGAACATACTCTTTGTGGTCATATAAATGTGATGTTCTAGTCTGTTCTGTTGCTAATGACAAAAAGCACCTGCAACTGGGTGATTTGTAAGAATAGAGATTTGTTCAGCTCGTGGTTGGAGTTCCTAGGTCCGAGGGCCACCTCTGCTGAGGGTCTTGTGCTGCATCACCATGGTGGAGGGGGCAATGCACGTGTGTCTGTGTCTCTTTTCTGGTTTCATTTCTTCTTATCAACTCACCAAGGCTAAATCACACACCCATTCATGACCTCAGTCCAAATCTCCAAAGGCCCCGCCTTTCAACATTGTGGTTGCATTAAGTTTTTACCCTCTTAGGCCTGTCACCACCAAATTTCAACACGTGAATTTCAGGACAGGTTCAAACCAGAGCACATGGTAAGACTCTTATTTCCTCTACCCAACAAAAACGTCCAAAGTTGATGTTGCTTGACCTTGGTAGCTACTGGTGGGGTGGGCATGCGTGTGGCCTACTCTGTTCCCTGAGCATTACGGACATAAGTGTGAGGTGGAAGTGATCTCGTCTCCACTGCCAGGGTGCAGGTTGTGCACATCCCCTGCTGAGATCTCATCTTCCTCGCCCTGGACGCCAGCTCAAGTGTGGGCAGGCCCAGGACCTTCCCCGGCATCAGGGATTGACTCAGAGTCATAGATATGAACCAAGTTTGCGACTTTGAATTGACTGTGGAGAAAATGGCTTTCTCCTTCCTCTCCAGGTGAATAAGAAAGTGTTGGCCTTCACTGTGGGGGTAGCAAGTTTGAGAAGCCAACCCAAGGACCACAGAGACACGGAGTCAGACCGCCTGAGGCCTGAGTGAACTCTATACTCTTCCGTTTTCAGAGCAAGAAGTCCCCCTTTGCTTGAGCCAGTTCACGTGGAGATTTCTATGACTTGCAATGGAAATATTCAACATACCAAGACTTAGTCACCCAAAGTATTATTGATTGTGACCCTGGTTCAACTAAACTCAACCTATTTTATTATTATTATTATTTTGCATTTCTTACTATGCTATCCTATGGAACATAGTTTTTTTTTTTTTTATTTAGATGATTTTCTTTTTTTTAACCATAAGTTGTGTGTACTTGCTGGACAGAGACAGAGAGAGAAAAACTGAGAAATCAACCCCCAGGGGATGCCCACCCTACAATTCCTTCTGTTCTGTTCTCCTCTCTTGATTTTGAATATGCACTCTCATGTGCCTGGCATATTTTTCAGGCCACCAGTCCAAGACTTGAACGGTGGCATCAGCCATGTGGGATCCAGCACTTTAACCACCATGCCATTTGCTGACCCGGTTTTCCAATTTTAAAAGTTCTAAATTTTTGAGTAATTTTGATTCTAAACACTCAGAGAAAGGTTGGTCTGACTCTTTCCAGAGCTGCTTATCTTTCTGAAATCCTTGGCACTCCTAGCCAGCCAGGAAGAAGGTTGCACGGGTCATGAATATTGCAATTCGTACATGTGGTACCTCAGGCCTGGGTGTCTGCCATTTTCGTAGACTCTAAGGAGAAAACCTCAAATCTAGAACGAGAATCGCATGTAAGACTGAGTCGTTTCTTTATGAAAGGCCTTATAAATAATGGATTTTTAGTTATATATTCTCCTTGTGGCCTTAGCTCATGTCCTGCCTCAATTAAAGACTCAAGAGAGTTTTATCCATTTTGATGAGGGTCGTGTCTCCACCTGCGTCTGTTCAAAGCCACCTCTTCCCTAATCCTCCGGGTCTACCTTGTTCTTTGTCATCACTCGTTTTTATTCCCTGTTTTTTCATGCTCTTTACGGTCTGGGTAAGAACGGGCCCTTCCCCTTCCTTGTGTGAGAATATTCCAACTTCCCGATCGACAGTATCCTGATGTTCACCTTGGGAGAACCCACTGGCTCATGGATGCTCCAGATGATCCCGTATGGTCACAGGAGTTTTCTCCTAGGATGTACCTTTTCAGAGCCTCTTTTATCCAGAGAAGGCCTCTTGAGGTGCCAGGCAGAGGGGACCGCCACCTGACCACCGCTTCCCCATGTGGTCTGTGGGCTCTGCCTGACCCTGGGACCCGTTTCCCCCAGTTGCACACATGCGGGTTTACTAGGCAGAGCAGGACAGGCCTCTCTCTTGCCTTTTTGGGAGAACATGTCTGTCTTTTCCAAGGTCATTCCACAAACTAAAATCTGTGTAGATTAATTCTTCAGTTGTGCACTCAGTTACATTCTTCTGAGTGTGCCTCTGTGGGTGAGAGACGGCGAGACTGAAGGGGACCAGGAATACGACTAGTAACGGGAGGAGGTAATACTTCACAGTCTCTGCCTTCTGTTCTC